GCAGGAATGGGGAGGTGGGTCTGGGATGTGCGTCCTTGACCTTCACCCATGAAGGATGGGAATGTGGCATGGGCGATGGGGTAGAGGTAGTTGAAGAACTGATCTAGAAGACCTAACTTTTCCCATATCTCGATGACTTGGTTTTAACAGGGTACATCTTGTGAATCCACAAGGTCATCAGTACATATGCAGAACTGGTTGCTTAGCAGTAACACTTATTGGAAAACACAAAAAGGATGGATTTCAAGTTGGCAACAAATGCATTAGGAGCTAGCAATGCGATATGGTCAGGAAACAGCCAGAGTAACTGAGAGATGAGATCGTGGAGAGCTTCGTTTTTATATCTATATTCACCTACAAAAATTCCAGACCAGTGAGAAAGACATAGGTTGTTTATATGGTTCTCAGAGACAGAATGAGGAACTGAGGTTGAAGCCCAGGGAGCCAGATTTTGTTTCCATATAAGGGAGAACTTTCTGTTGGAAAGATGGAATTTGCAGCTGTAGGAGATAATGATCTCTACCTCACTGGAGACCTCAGGGATACCATGGGGGGATTCATTAATGGGGGCACTGGAGGTATGGGCTCAATGGCCTTTATGGTCTTTTCTCCTCTTGAGATCCCAGAGCCAATCGTTCTCAGTGGTCAAGAGGAAGAGAGGCGCACATACATTAAGGAATGAAGAGCCCCTTTGTGGGTGTGGAAACTGATCTGCAAATGCTATTTGCAAAGTGGAGGGTAGATATAGACTTTATCATTCTGGTTTTCATACCTATCCCTATAGCTCCCTCCTTGGTCCTTGGTTTTCAGAGTTCCCGGGTCTTCCCTGGACAGCTATTTTTTCATGGAATATCTTTCCCCTGCTGTAGTGTTCCTGTTGCAATATTAGAAGGAACTCTGAGTCCCTAACAGGATGATAATCTTTCCACAGAACAACCAGGTCTGATGGCTGGTCTAGTCTTCTCAATTATAAATGAGGGCCATCCTTTTGCCCTCTTCAAGCTTGCCTCTGGGACCTCTAGGGAGTACTGCATTGGCAAGAGTTCTGTACCGAGTTCTGGTTCTTGCAAGTGGTCCAAGGATCCTGTTTCTTTCCTTCATTTGACAGTCACTTATATTTGTGTTCATTTATTAAATATGCAGTAAGTAAGAAATGTTTGCAAATTTTCAGGTACTTATGTCATGCTTGCAAAAACAAGTAATCAAAATAAATTTGTCATGACTATTTGTCTAGACCAAATAGAAGATACTTTTAGAGCTCATAGTTGGACAATTTTGGAATATCTACCCTATTTGTAGATGAGACAGTGTAAGCTCTAAGTAGAGAACCGATTTGTCCAAAATCTTAAGGAGTGGCTGATCTAGGTTTAGGGCATGGGTTTCCTTGCTCTCTGACCAGTGCTGTTTGTTGCTAGAAGATTCCCTAGGGATTAGAACAAGCAGCTTCATGGTGCAGGCCCAAAAGCCAGGAAGTTGGTGATGATTCTGAAAAAATGGCTCTTCTGACTTACGAAAGCCTTTACAGCCAACGGTAGAAGAAGATCATGCTGAGAAATAGAACCACCGAGAAGCCAAGATATAGATTCCCTTCTCTGAACAGACTCATCTTCCTCTACCACCATTTCACCCAGCGTCTCATCTCCTTTCTCCTCCTCTACTTCAGTTCTGGAGTCATTTTGGACCAGATTTATTCCTGATCGACTTCGCTAGTCCAATTCAGTTATTGAACACTACTCAGGAACTTTGGATTGGAATTAATCTTACAAATTAAATTGGGTAGTTCAGCCTTCTACACCCCGCCTTGCCCAAAGTTTTTCCAGAAAGTCTGGTTTTATTGTGGGTCTTCCTGTCTGGTGTCTGTCCTATAAAGAACTCATGCAAAACTCAGTTTCCAGGAGGACTCTCAGCTCAGGGGAGTCAGGGATTGGGGTTCCAGGGCTGGGGTTGTTATAGGATTCATCTGCCATTAATAGAACTGCGAACTTGATTCTTAGTGACGTCTTCAGGTGAATTTCCCCAAATACCTCCCCCTACTCCGAATGAATAGACTTCATAAATGTGTTTGCATGATAGATGGCCCCATTCTCAAGGTGAACTTAACAGCCTTTTAAACCAATTACTTCCTTGTTTGGGCGGGGGAGGATTTTCCTGTAGTGGGACAGCTGTGGAACAGTTTAGACTCCACTTCTTTTGGGGTTAATCATTTACTCCGAGTAAGGAATTCTGTCTTAAGTGGGGCATGTTCTTCCAGTGCCAGAGGAGAGAAGGGTGATTTTTCAGACGTCCTCCAGCCTGCTTCTCCATTTATGGAAATGTTTACCCACCACACTGATCTATTGGAAGAGAACGAGGTGACTCAGGGTTTAGGAGAAGCAGGATTTGAATTCTTGTTTCCAGAAACAAAGTCGCTCCCCTTCCCCCTTCCCACCCTCACCCCTCCCCCTCCATTCCTTTGCCCCGTGTTCTGGAGGCTGAGGAGAGAATGTCTCAGTGCTGTTCCCCTCTGGCCTCGGGATCACCTCCTTGCAGTGAGACTCAGGGTGTGTGAGAGGGAGTGAGAGCCAGCGGAAGGCCAGCTGCCTGTGGGGCCTGACCTCACGTGAGTACATCATTGTTGCCAGAGCGCATGGCATTTCTGCTCCCAGACCCCGGGCTTACAGCACTGACAGCTGGCTCCCTTGCCTGGTGATGAGACTTGTTGCTGGGAGCGCTTTAATTTGGGGTGTGGACAGCTG